ATATATATATATATATTGGAGTGCACAAGTAAAGCATTTGTGTACCTTTGCTGACAGACTGCCATCCTGTCTCACTGAAGCCATGGCTCCTAGTGTTTCCATCCTATCCAATACCAATGATATTGACCAAGCCTCTCCATAGCTACATCAACCAGGGCTTTGGTAACAGAGTCCTCACAAGCTATGAATTGTCGCCATTGTGGACATTTAAAGTACATTAAAACTAGCAAATTTCCTCTCAGTTGCACTCAACTGATATGTAGATTTTACCTATTGATCATCTATCTTCTAAATCAAAAGCCCATGCAAATCTGGGAACCAACCCTTAGTTCCTTTATCGTGTTGCCCAGTTATATGAGTTCTCCCTCTTTGCTGAGTGCAGAAAGCTCTTAGGAAACTGGCTGGCTTCCTTGGTAATAAACACACACTGGAGACCTGAAGGCTAATCAAGGGTCACACAATAAACATCACAGACCTTGAATACAGCTGCTGGGGAATCTATCCTCTGCTTCAGGTTCCAATTTATTTCTTTTTTTTATGTCAGCTTATCCAGATTTGCCCCACTCAAGGAAGCACACCATTTAACAGCTTCAGCAAAAGGTATGGTCAAATGAATATTATGCTATTGTTGTAGAAAATTCCTGTAGTTTATTGTAGTTCCATAATTACAATGTGGAAAAATGTAATTTTATACCTTTGGAGAACTGATGTCAAAACAGTAAGAAAAAATCTCAATGTAAATTTTAATTACTGCCCCCTACACTTTGTGGGCTAATCAGAACTTTACTGGTCTGATAGCAATGCCTTGCTCTTCAACTTTCTCCAGATTTCAGGTGTTTGGTTACCAGGAGTCCAAGTACATGCTTTTCGAATAGAACTGCTCATTCCTGTTCAATGTTTGCTTATTGCTGTATTTTGGAATTTCAGAAGTTCTGATTATGAGCATAACATGTTAGTATTTCCAAATAACACATATGTTGTAAGAAAATGATGGCCAAGTACAGATTTTTTTGAGTAAAATTTCAGTTTCCTTCAAAACCACATAAGTACCTCGTCCTTAGAAGGACAAGCCTATAATCATTAGAAATCACATACCAAAGAAAAACCATTTTGGTCACTCACAGTTGAGAAGGTCTATTACTAGTAAATTTTTCATTTGGACAGCTTGTGAAAAATCATTAGCTTATCAGGAATTCCAAGTCTTTGTAAAAGGATCTGATAACTGCTAAATATCATTTTTATCATGTCTGACTGACTGTGGGAGACACTTAAATTGCACTAATCTTTTTCTCCCCCTCCACTTAAACTGCACTTACAAGTTTCCACTGATGAATTTTTTTAATGTGTCATCCAAGGTGTCATGTTTAACTCTGCCCTGTGGACTTAGAGCTGAGTGTTCTCTGGTGTGACGTAACAATACCTCTGCCGAAAGTCTTGTTAAAAATTGCTTCATTTAACCAATGGATAAAGTGTTTTATAGTTTGTTAAAATTATGCTAAGTGATTATAATAAAATCTTTATAAAGAAGTGTAGTACTAAAAAAAATTGCCAAAGCCATTAAGTAACAGGAGATATAGTAACGACACCTCATCACAGTAATCTATATTATATTATTCAAGGGATGAGTGTTCCTTAAACAAAACAACTCTTAGATGTTATCGTCAAAGGTATGAAATGCAATGTGCATATCTCCACATTATCATACTAGTATATCCCACATAAATGAGGTAATTTATTGAAAACATATACATCATTGTTATCTCACCCCAAACTATGGGCACATTTTATTCTCCTAGGTTAAAACGCAGGCCAACACAACAAGCACTGTATACACTGACCTGATTACAATGTCAACACTGTACATTGCCTGAGGAGGCAACTATTTCATTTTTAAATACTTTTTTGACATTTTTTTCCATTTTTGGTTTGACCTCACAAAATACATATGAATCTCTTCCCTTTTGAGTCTTCAGAAATTTTTTGATGAATAACTGAACCTTAGAATAAGTCATCAATAAGTTTCCTCTGAAGAATGAAATATTGCAATAACTCTAAGAACTACCATTTCTTACCAAGGTGCATTGTGTAACTCTGACTGTGATAATCATCCAGTCGCCCAAGTTTAGGGAGACACTGATTCCTTTCTTCTAAAAATAACATTCTTCCATGACAACCAAGTATGGGGCAGATTTTAAAAAGTGTATGATAGAAAGCATTCTTGTTGAAAACTAGAACAAATGTTTTAAGAGATGTTATACTTCTAGGCAGAGGAGGCTTTATGGAATTTATAACTATTTACTACATACATGCTATTCCAATACAACACATATCTAACATATTTTTCTTCTCTAGGGATAATATATATTATGTGTAACACATATTACATATTTACTCAAAATAGATGCCATGGAAGTTGGTCCTGAAGAGCAAATATGATTTCTGTGTCATTAAGCTGATTTTCTCTTGATTTCCCTAGTAAATGCCATCCCTATTCTGTGTCACAAATAAAAAGATTTACATGGAAGGAATATGATTGGCAGAAGGATGGTCACCAAACCATGAAAAGAAATCTCATTTTACAGTCAAGATGAAAAAAATAACAAGCAGATCTTGAAGAGATGGGAAATCCCATGAGCTGATTTACCATGTATACAAGTAAAGGAGACATAGATATTAAAAAATTATGCAAATTTAGATTTCCATCTATGTACTTATATTATTTCTAAAGGAAACAAATCAAAGAATGAACACTCTGTTCTATAGAGAACCTGGAACAAAACTGCCTCGTTACATTTCTGTCCTTTCTACAAAGATTTTACATTCACCTTTGGTATTTTGGGCCCTGCCACAAAAACACAAGACTTCATTCCTGTGAATCAAGACTTCAAGAAGAAAACTATTTCAGTGTGTGTGAAAAGTTTACCTTTGATTTTGAGCAAAGTTGTATCTCATATAGATGCCTATATTTATATGTGATACACATATATCCTGTTCAAAATTAATAGTGGAAAAATTCTTAGTAAGGCATGATTCTTATGGAAAAGATCAAAATAATTAGGAAAAGGATGCATTTTCCTCAAAAGAACAGCACAGTGTAATGCCTGTAACTACACAGCCTAGTCACATATGTCATGGTTTGCCTGTGAGCACCACTCACTGAAATAAAGGATTCATTCCACATGGTAGAGTGCATGTGCATACAGGTGTGTGTGCGTGTGCATGTGCATGTGTGTGAAGAACAGTGAGCGAGGGAGTGGGTGAAATGGCAAGCTATCCCTGTATTTTTAATTTAACACAGTGCTTTTGTGACACTAATGTGAATGAATGTGGCAAATGTTTTAGGACACAGTGAAATTTTGAATAAATTAGCAGGTGTTCATTCTGTGATACGAAAAAAGTCTGATGAATGAACTGGTTTTAATTCGCTAAGGATTCACTATTTACACTGAATCTTGCCAAATTGAAATCCCATAGACTAAAGCGTAAAAGTAATACTAACACATGCACTAAGTATAGCCTGCCAAATATGCAAGTGAATGCTGAGTTAGAGGGATTTGTGTCTTCAGTGGCAAGCTTGAAAATAAACCAATCTGGATATATAAATGGATTGTTACTAATAGTGGACAATAGGTACTTTTTAATCCATTTAAAAGTTTTGTAGACCAAAGAAAATTATGTGGATTTATTTTTATTTAGTTTATCATTAAGATTAAATTTCAATATAAATTATATGCATTAAAATAATATTTGTGTCTTATTTAATGTTATCATAAAAAGATAACTTCCACTAGTTTAATATTTAATTAAATACCATATAATATTCTGTTCCAGAATAACATGTTAAGTTCACCTGAAAAGGGCTTATTACTGTATTACTCATAGACTGTTCTTTTTCACACAAATGCAGCCTAAGAGTGATATACAATGATGAACATCAATTACATGCATTTAGAAATACACAGACTTACAGCACTAATTATAAAGTACCATTACAAAGAGAGTAATACAGACATGAAAAGTACAAACTCTTAATAATGTTCTTGATATTTTATTTAGTAAAACACAGTGAATCCCATCTCAGAAATGCCCATAAGTTCTCCTGCCAGTATGTTTTTGGGCCCTGATTCCTTTGTGAATTCTCAGGCATTAATGCTGTAAGAATTGGAAAGGAACTGCATGTAAGAAACACTTGTTAAAACATAAGAAGATGTTACCACAAACATTAAAAAAACATTCTAATGTATTTTCTTAGTTTACAATAAATTAAAAATGATGGCATTAAAAAAAATCTAGGGAATAGCATGATTCAGTCAGAATGGAAGGGAAAAAGATTGTCATGTTCCAGGGTCTAAAAAAATGAGTCACTTTTAAAAGACAATACTAATTTTTTTTTTTAAGTAGAGCTTTGAGTAAACATGAATTTTACAAATAAAATTCATTCAATCTGTTTCCAGGAATATTCATTTAAAAGTTTAATTTCATCTTGATATTCATCTATATCTGAGAGTGAATACATTAGAAGCTTGGTTTTTCACCTTATGTATCTTACAAGTCATAAGACAAGCCAGGGCTTAGTAGGCCTAAGGAACCGGAGGAGAGGCACTGAGCGAGAACTGTTCTCACTGTATGCTTGAAAGTTCTGATGAAGGGACTTTGGAGCTTAGAGAACCTCATATTCAATTTTCTGTGAGCAAAGATATGAATTTTGTGGGTCTTTCTTCTGGCAGGAGGGGTCTCTGCCCAAGCCTGATAAGATATTCCTGTGGCGTGGTGGTTTTCTAGACCCTGTTGCACACGTAATAGACCAGATGGTGAGCATGACGTTGAGAAGTGGCCAGAGATTAGCAAGAGGATGTTTCAGAAGCTCTTGATCAGTGGGATTTCTATTGATTTTGAAAGCGCTGCATGATTTGCTTACAGTTTATGGAGGAAAAAAAAAAACAAACAATCGAATAGTGGTGAAACTGCGGTTGCTCAAAGAGGTATGAGAGGGATTTGGAAAAGCAGTCAATAGTCTTCTTGACAAGAAAAGCTGAAAGATCACATGCTAAGAATTACCTTACTTGATCTTTTCCAGCTCTTCCTCATTAGCATTGTCTGTAAATGAAATAGAGCATTTTCATTATCTTTTCACTCTAGGACAGTACAGGGAGCCCAGTGTTTTCTGAGGGAAACGTAACACGTGTTAGTCCTTTAACAGCACACAGATTCCAGCAACAACTACACAGGACAGGAACTGTTTTTCACACAAACATAGCTATGGCAGCACCTTTAACATTCAAACAGTCTTTCCAGTGAGAGTTCATTTGCTGTATTCTTTGTATGAAGAAATAGGAAGGTATATTTTAAATAGAATAGAAGGCTGGAAATGCCTAATTATCAATGGGAACTATACATTGAGTCTGCTAAGTCACAATTGTTCATTTTGGTGGGTTGAAGCTGAGGAGGCATTTGACTTCACAGGGTATATGACAGTATTTCTATTCAAATATATTAAAAGTCTTGCTTTGGTGGCATCTTAGAATTATTTCTACTTCAAGGAGATCATTCCCATCAAGATCTAAAAATGCTTTCAACTGAGAAAAATGATGCACATTGTGATGGCTGTTGGTGTATCTTCCTGCTAAATCTTTATCTAAAATACTCTTTAAGCTATTTTGTTTGTGTAAGAGGTATTTACAGGCAAACATTTTAAGTAATATTCTGGAGATTTATGATGAATGCCTAAGATCACTGGTCTCTTGAGTCAGGTAAACAACACTGAAAAAAACTTCAAATGTCTTCTCTTTACTGTTGAAAAATTCTCAGGGCATACTGAGGTATTAATCTTTCTGATTAATTTCTTTACCCTGTCTTAGATCTATCATTATCTTCAAGTCAGATGAAGGGCAGAATGGGGAATATTTGTAGCACAAAATATAGCTTATAGAAATGCTTGCCATATTTATACAAGGAAATGTGCTGACTGTTTTAAAAATTCTCTGCTATAGCAGAATTCCCTATAAGGAAGGGCCATTTGAGAAACCTTTCCGTGACAGTTTATAAAAATTCAAGGAAAATATTTTAATACAAGACTAAGACAACCTTTGCCTGGAACCTGGAGACCAGATGCTGTAGAGGTTCTAGAGCAGGAAATAAAAAAATCATAAAAAATTTCAAAGAAAATAATAACATTCTTCACTTCTGCAGACAGTAGTTTTACAGGGTATATTTCTCTATGTAGGTTTCACATTAAATAGTAAGAAAAACATCGAAGAGTAGAAGATTTCCTTTTTTCAGGTGGAACCAAGAAACCCCAAAGCTTGCCATCAATACAGTACAGACCTTCTATGTTTTCCAAGTACTAAGATCCAGTTCATTTTGAAGCAAGAAATCCCACCATTCAGCAGTGGAAATGGACAACTGGTGGCCACTTGTTGTGTGTTTGCTGTTGATGTCAAATGAATCACATCATCACTGCCACCACTGCCACCCCCACCACCATCAGAAGACAACTGGAATCCAAATTATTTAGTGGCATACCATATACACAAAAACTGTCCATTTCGGAGTCCGATAATAAATGCTCAACTTTCTCATAAAACAGAGTTTCAATGGAAAAAAAGATAATCTTTTGAGTCAAGTCAGTGAGGCAAAATAAAAAGTAAAGCCTCTTAACTCAGCATCATGTATCTTCATTATCTGGCATCTAAAAGTATCTTACAAAAAGTCCTACCCTATTAAAAACTGCCATGCTGTGAAAAAGGGGGTTAGGACATGAGGAAGGGTGGAACTTCCCAGCAGCCCTCTTGTGAGGATCCAGGCTGTTGGTTAGATTCACGTTCCTGACTCAGGAGCGCTGCATATAATTAACCTTCTATATGTAAAACAGCATACAATTAATGTTTTTCTTCTCTTTCAAAGTTATAAGTAGACCACATAGTTTATTTTTCTGATTAAGAATCTGATACAAGCAAAAAGTCAGTGATTCACTAAGTGTAAATATAAATGATTTTGGCAATTGCTTCTTTTCCTGATTTGGTGTATAAAGTTCTACTATTAGATCCAGTGATCTCAAAGTTGCCATAGATATTATTTTTAAAAAGTCTTCCCCTTTAAGCAACTCCACTAGATTAAAGTGATGCATTTCATATCCCATGCCTAAGCCTTTCCTTCTGTTTAGGTATTTGGATAAGGTAGATTCAATAAAACTGCGAACTGTAGAAAACTTTAAAGCAAGTGAACTGAGTAGATACTTTTTGCTATCTGTAATGTGCTAAAGAAGAAAGATTGGGGAATGTTAAAAGACTGGAGATGAAGCGAATTCTAGAAAAATACAATTTTACTTTTGCTCTATGATTTTAACTTCAGCTGAGAAACATATGAATTAGTTTTTGAAAGTATCCATATCTAATATTATATCAAATAGTATGATAGATAATTTAAATTCTTTGTTAGCACTCAGCCTTCTTCTACAGAAAAGAAACAACATTCTGGAAGTGACTGTTTCCATAAGATTACAAATGGCAATCCATTTGTCACTTTGTTCTTCTTTTGTAATGATTTTTTAGTGAATTATATTGCATATATATATATGTGTGTGTGTGTATATATACATATATGTATATATATGTATGTACATATATATATTTCAGAACAGCTACTATAGTTAGATATGCAAATTTGTAAATGAATATATCTTCAAATTTTGACTGTGTAATAATTCTGAAAAATACAAAGATTAAACCGAAGTATATCTATCTATACGTATATTTTAAACCCTTTAAATGCAAGTAGGATCAATTCATATGTTTCTTTAACTTTTCTATTTTTCAGTCTTAGCCAAGCCGTTTGCAGATGGTAGGATGTTGAAGAGCGCATGTAACACAAATTAACTCACTTTTATTTCACAAATTCTCCAATGAAGAAAGCTGTGGACTGAACTCTGCTAGAAAAGAGCCAGAAAGAACTCAAACACACCGTCAGACTCAAATTCTATATATAGGACCCACAGGCATGGATTATAGACCTTTTCAGGTTTAAAGTAGGACATGCAATCAAAACAGAAATGACAGCTGCGCCATGCAATGGATCAGCATGCCCCTTGTGATGTGGTTTCTTGTACACACAATGCTGAAGACTTAAATAATGTCTATTTCCGCTCACACCTGGGACTTTTTAAAAGGCTCCATCATGAACTCAGTGGAGACTTTAATATGAACAACGATGAAATACATTTTCTATTACTCATATCACACTTCTGCAATTGCCGTAATTAGATGCTGCGTGCTTTGAAGACCTTAGTAGGTTCAGCAGGTTGAGAGCTTTTCCAATTCATTGTTTAGTTTTACTGATTTCAGAGGTAGTAATCCACACAAGGAGAAATCACCTCAACTCATTATTCATGGAATATATCGTTAATATTTTACAGGGCATAAAAAAATCTCAAGCTATCTGAGAATTCTTCACTTTGTAATACCAAATATTCTTTATTTCCAGTACTGTTACTTTTCTTTTTCTTTCTTTCTTTCTTTCTTTCTTTCTTTCTTTCTTTCTTTCTTTCTTTCTTTCTTTCTTTTTTGTATTTTTAGGGAAGGATCTACAGGGTGTACAGGGTCTCACTACTAGATCGGACTCATAGTGATCCTCCTGTTTACAGCCTCCCAAGGCCTGGGATTATAGGCCCGTGCCACCACGACCAGCCTCAATTGCCATCTCAATGAGTCCCAGGGGCAGGGCCAGTACTGCAAGCCTGGGGATCGAACCCCACCCCCTCTGGCCCCTGTGCCTGTTTGCAGGTGCTTTAATGCGTTAATTTTCATTTTTACAAATTAACATTTCTTAATGTTAAACTTCTATTTCCTATCTGGTTGTTTAATCTGCTAATGGCTCTTAAAACTCATCTCTTCCATTCTCCATTTTAATATTTATAAAATATTAGCAGGGTTTCAGAAAACACTAGCATAAAAATAAATAGGATTTTTGAACTCAAGTTTTCAATCCCAAAAGCCTAAACTAAATTATTTCTGAGCTAACAATCAGGGACTAGAACTCTTCCTGTAGTCACACAGCATGAACATCAGTGCAAACCCACCTCCTGTTTCCAGTCACTCATAGTACGCAAGATTGTGCAGCTTTCAACTACTGGTTTTTAGTTTGCTGCATTTTGAGTTTCAACTTTTCTAAATAAATAAAATTTGTTTCTGGGTAATTTGTAAAAGTTCAGCACACCACTTTCACCAAACAAGTGTTTGATAGATTTGAGAATAAGAAGATTTGATTTGAAGATATATTGGATCTCTCATTGCTCATAATTAAGAGTTTGTGAATCTGACCCAGTGGAATATAGCTAGCTAAAAATAGAAATGCAGTCACATGTTTATCATTTGTCATCATTAGAAATCCTTGAAAAGAGCAATGTAGCTTGATTTTAAGCAGATTGTCATTAATATACTAAACTTAAGAATTTATAAAAGAAAATTAAATTATTATTTAATGGAGATTTGAATATGAAGTAAGGAAATAAAAACCTTTAAAATATCTTCCTTTGGCCCTTAGAAGCATCCCTTCGAATTCACATAGGGATTTGTCTACAGCCCAAGGAGTACTAGATCCAGAAAATAAGAGTGTGCTTTGAAAGCTACTATCGTCAGAGTACCCATAAGTTTGCCCATGGAGTATACATAAAGTTTACTACATACACATTTTATAATACGTAAATATACTCCTCCGCCAAGATGACGGGATAGGAGGTGAGGAGGACAGGAGCACAGAAGGAGGACCAATGCCATCGATGTCAGCCTAGATTCCAGAAGGGTGAACTGTAAGGAGTTAGCGTGGCTGTGACAAAAGTTAGGGAACGTACACTGCTGCGGGAAAGCCTTAGAATTCTGCCTCAGTAGCTTCCTAGCTTCCTTCTAACTAGAGAAGAAGCCTCGGGGCACTGAACACTTGGAGGAGCAGGGAGTTACTGAGCCTAGCACAACGCTTAGCAGATGAGTGAGAAGTGGGGGTTTTCTTTCTTTTTAAATTAACATATAAAATGGTGTATAAGTATGGGGAAATTGACATTTTTATAAATTATATTTTATTTGATGTTCAATTCAGAGGAAGCACATCTATATCCTCCAACATTTTTCATTTTGGGCTGTGAAAGCATTCAATATTCTTTCTTCACTTTCGAAATATTCAGTATGTTTTCCTTACCTGCAGTTTCCTACTGTGCAATAGCACTCCAATACTACGGAACCAGGAGTTAATATCTGATGTCTACTCTCTCCCATGCTCTCTCCCTGCGCCTCGCCCTGCCTTCTGATAGCCACCACTGTGTTCACAGCTTCTATGAAATCAACATTTTAAATTCCGTATATGAGTTGTGTCATGTAGTATTCATCTTTTTTATGCCTGGCTTATTTTCAGCATGTTTTATAGTTCTATCCATATTGTAGCAAATGACAAAATTTCATCCTTTTTCATACTTGAATAGCATTTTTTTGTAGTTTTGAAAAAAAAATCCCCATTGTTAATTAGGAAAAGACTATGGATCTTATTCATGGTCTAGTTTGTTATGATAAACAACTAAATTAAGAAAGCTTAAAATTATAGCTATAGAGCTAGACCAAATAAAGAAAAAAAAGCAAATTATGTATATTTTTGACAGCTTTCTTAATGTAAAACAAAGAATTAGAACCTTAGATTCAAATCTAGTGTACTTAACAGCTAGAATTTTGGCTACTCTTAGAATTTTCTAATATGGATCTTTTATCCTTCTTCCCTGACCCACCATAAGCAAGCTGGCTTCTCTACAGGCAAGCCTGTGCCATGGCCTATGTGGATGAGATATGATACCCACAGTGGCCACCCTTTTCTCTGCCTCCTTAAGTGTGACAGAGGTCAGGATGAAAAGTTCGGGAATATTCCCAGCCAAGGGCCATTGCAGAGCCTGACCAAGCAACTTCCTTCTCTGAGGAAGGAAAACAACAAAACAAGTCAAGGGAAGATAAGCAATAATCTGGAGGAAAGAAACCATTTCCCAGTTTCCCCAGTGGACTAAATCCAGCACTACCCAAGCCTCTGAAAGGGGTGGTCACAGGAAGGCAGTCAAGAAAGGCTAGCACATAGGAAAGGAATCTTCCAGAACATCTGGGGTAGTCACAGAAATTTGAGTTTAAACAATGACGTGAGAATTTCAGGAAGAAATCTTGGTGTAGAAGATGAGTGTTTCTGGGGAGACATGATGCAAAATAAAAAGGAGAAAAAGAAGATAAATTAAAAATCAGATTTTTAGTATATAACTATTTCACATGATCCACTTACTCTTTCCATATTCATGTATGAAAGCACACAGATAATTAGTTCTTGAGTTCTATGATATTTTTCTTCTACTTAGAAGTGCCTTGTATCTAACATACAAGTTCAAGTGGGCATAGAGATTGAGCTGTTTTTGGAAGAATTGTTAAAACAATAATGTTGAGAGCTGCTTTGCCTGTGCTGACATATATTTCTGTGTAACTTAGAGCAAGAGAGAGGCTTCTTGGTGAGGTCTCTGGGTGGTAACTTGATCCTTCAAGCCCTCAGTTTGATGTTAGACTATTTAATAATGGTCCTTTAATGTGAAGATTCGGCAGACTACCCATCACTACATCAACCCAATAACTGTCATAGCTGCTACATTTCTCCAGTCTCCAGCAATACTGTAAGTTTTGATAGTGTGGGGATATGCAGGACCTGAGGCACTTGGTTATTTTTATTTATGAAGGGCTGTCCTTTATTAAAATAACAAAGAACCTCAAAGTAGAAATATTCTATTGCGGAGTTATGTCGAGCTTTACCTCCTACCTGTAAAACTGCCAATTTCCTTCCATATCTACCTCTGACAGTTCTAATCTAAATCACTATCATCTTTCCCCTGAATTTTGCAATAACTTTCTAATTGGTCTTTAAGCATCTGTTGTTACTCCTTCAATCTGTTTTGTACAAAGCAAGTAAAGAGATATTTTCAACAGGCACATATGATTGTGTCGCTGCCTATTTGCAAACCTCTCAGTGACTCCCCGTTGCTGATTGGGGAAAGCCTGCAGATCTTATCAGGCCACTTGGCCCTCCATAGTCCAGGCATCTCTTTCTATACACAGTGACTGTCCACCTTCTTTAAGATCCAGAACCTTCTAGGTTCTTGGAGTGAAACATGGTTTCTCTAGCCATGATGCCTTTGCATATGCTGTGTCCTCTGCTTCAGATACTTCTCATCTTTTTTCCTTACTAACCCCTATTCACACTTCAAGTTTAACCTCCTCAGAGAATCCCTGTCTCTTTACCTTGAACAAAATCCTCTATCTTGTCTCCTTTGTCAACACTGTCCTCTCCTTCATGGAATGTAACACAATCATCATTTTATGTTTTCTCCAGTACTTGAGTCCTGACTTTTCAACTGGTCTCGAGTTATATCTCATGTCAAGTATTCAGCACCAGAACTGATTTACCGTAGATTTTTGGTGAATACCAGGATCATTTGAATAAAAGATACAAATAAATATGTGTACTTTCTTCCTATGTACAGATTATCTAGCTAGAATCTACTTTCTGGTCTGCGCTGAGAAAAATAATGTTTTCTGAATTGTTGAATTTTACAATGATGGACTTCCATTTCTAAATACTCTCCGTAGAATCCCAGCCACCCTTCCATCTCCATGCATACATCTGTGATTTGATCATGTTATATTTTCACAGTGGGTAGCATTTGGTAAGACTTACTGGAAAAGAAATATTTTCCTCTAAATTCTCAGCCCACACTTATGAAATACTATATATGAATTTGTGGGCCTACTGTTTACTTTTGAAAGGGAGAGAAACAAATAGTTCTTGATGGGGTGAATTTTTCAGTAAACTTAAAAGTCTTTAAAATTTGAAATCTACTATTTGTACCTATGATCTTGGGGGAAATGTCAGTAAATCCTTTTTTTAGAAGACAATACACTGCAGCTTTAATCATATATTATTTTAAGACATCAGCATATATATTGTCGAAGTAGAGTATTTGAACTTGCATAAAATTTATGCCTACTACAAAGATGCATTACATGAATGTGCCTGGGTGTAATCAATAACTTCTGGTAAATTGTGGCAGAAAGTGTACTGCAGAGCACACTAATGTAGGTCACACCTGATATTTTTTCACATCACTTGAACACCGTGGGAGTCCTTGGTTCCTCCGTGTCCCCATTAGTCTCTCCTAGCAGCATGGTGTGCAAGGAAGTATAGACAGCGTGTGCTGAGAAATGGGACGATCAACATGGAAGTCCATTGAGAGGATGAAGAACACCCACTTATCCTTCAGTAAACAAGTGCCAGAAAGCAGAAACTCTGTTATGATTCCACCTCATTGCCTTTGGTATGGTCCACCTGACAATTCAGTCGAAACAGTAGGGTTTGGGTACCTCAGGAGGAATTCCAAATACTCAATTCACCAGCAAATGTATTCTTTGAATGAATATTATATATTTTCCTACATATAACCTATCTGAAATTGAGAAATAAAAAAAATCACAAATGCATTCCTTGGTTACAACAAGAGGTTCTGATCTGGAGCGTGGGAAAGGAAAGTTGAGTTGAAAAGACAGTGGGCATGGATGAGCGATTCCCAGGATACTCACAGAGACAGAGAACAGGTTGGGATTCGTGGGGAGCTGCTCTTATGACTTTCAGATCCAAGGAAGGCTGACATACTTGAAAATGTGAAAGCAAGAAAGGGTTCCTACAAGGCTGGGGGGCAACTTACCACATCCCTGGGTTCTCCTTCTTTAGGGGTAAGGACGACTGCAAGCAAAATGATTCCAAGGTCATGGTCAGGATAATGGGGATCTTTCAGAGTCAGGGTCACATCTGTGGGCCTGTTATATAAAATAGTCACATTTCTGTAATGAGTGCATTCACAAACAAATAGGAGCAATTTATTATAACAGTTATAAGATTCAAGAGCATTTACAGCTGTGGGATGATACTTATCTTTTATTTTCTTTCAAAATATCTCAATACTTCATGTAGCAGTATAAGTATTTATATGGAAACTATTATTATTATCTATTTATTATACCCAGAGGCTACTGATTTATACCCAGAATGAAATGGCATATATATGAATGTGGCTTTAAAAAGTGGTAATGTGATATATATATATATATATATATATATATAGTTGTAAGGGGAAGGAATAGAATGATAACTACATAAAATGAGCACTGTGATAAAATGCATACCAAATGCTTATAATATTTTTAATGTTTTAATGGTCCTTTATTATTTTCCATTTAAAACTATTTTTCACCATGATTTATCTTTAATAAGGAACAAGAGGAGTTTTTGCTTTGGGATTAGGTCTAGTAATTTGCATATCCTTGTATAGAAAATTACAGAGAAAGTAATTGCAGCCTTCATAAAAGAACAGCACAGTGCATTCCAGTCTGAGCTCCGTGTGCGTGATGGCAAACACATACACTACCCTCTAAGATGCTCCCTGCACCCGTGGGCTGTCATTAGTCACCTTCTAGGTTCTAGCCATAGCTCAAACCAGTGCTGGGCTTTACAGAGCAGTGTAGAAAGTACAGAAAATGCTGTTCTTCCAATCAAGGCAAATGCTGGATGTCCAGTCAACTGCCCCTTACTTCAACTCACAACCCACAAGGGGTTCTTCTATGAATGTTTCTCTACATATTTATAATTATGGAAAAACAAAGTAGTGCTCTGGCCAATAAGTCTACTTTCCTGTTTTCCACTCTCTCTATCATGTGAAGTGGCATGACACCCCCCAACAGGAATTTCTTCTCCTGAGAACCATCAAAGAAGCTTTTCCTGCCACCCATCTCAGAACTTCTTGCCTTTTTATGCCACTGTTACCTTATGTAGTCCCTTCTTAATTCTTATGTTGAAATAAATTTTGAGAAATATACTCCCATTGAGTGCAATGAATGATTTACATGAACAATAACAATACAGCTTTGTAACTAGTCAAACAATGTTAATGTGATTTAGGAACAGTTCTTGATAATCCGGTGAAGGCAGACTGGTGTTGCGAAACCATGAGGTCAAAAACAGGTTTTTCCTTGGCTCGAGTATTACAAGCATTGCTGTTTTTTTAATCAAGGCATGCATGCTGTACTTCGTATGTAGCAGCCTAATTCTTAAATTCATAATTGTAATTAATATGCACAGTGATTGACACGGCCTACTGCACCATCTGAGCACTGGAGATTGAATACTATGTCTCTTAGCTGTAGATTCCTAGTGCTGAGTACAGCCCTGAGAAGCAGAACTGGCATCTGAGAAGTTTTCTATTCAATAGCTGCTGTTGAATGAGGGATTTGGGAGGGATGTTATGATCTCATCAGATAGATGAGAACGATGCACTTGGGAGGGCTGACTAGCCCGTCTGTGCCACAGCCGCAGCCACTGTGGAAGGCAGAGGGCGGACATCTGTCTCAGGTTAGCCCATCTGCACCAGGTTAGCCACACATACTGCAACGATTCGAAGTCACCTGTTTAACTCCAACTGGGTGAGATCCAGGCAGGCCGAGCCCATGAAATCATCCTGTAGTCCAAAGTCATAGTCAAACACCTAAAAGACAAAGAGATAGCATGCTGTTATAAGTGACTAGGTTTTCAATGAAAATGTCTTGATTGTGGAATGCCCATTTTCTTTGTCACCAAAGAAACCAAACTTTCTGATATTTATTTTTTTAATATATTCATTTTGATTCTTTCGAATATTAGGAAACTATTCATAACATATTTAAAGAAAGTTCTACTTCATTTTTATCTTCATATTATTGGTTTATGTCAAATATAACACTTTAAAAGGTATAACAAAATCAAATAAAATATATCAAATCTTCAAAATATTGGAAAAATATAGACTTAGAATATTTTCTCCTATTATAGGAAAGATATTGGCACTACATTGGAAGACAAAGTACATCTTTGAAACATACAAATAAGTAAAAATTAAAATAGTGTGGTTAATATATTCTGGAAAATTATATTAAAGTTAAACTCAATTAAGGTTTTATTGTCATAGTAATTATTAGGTTAATTCTAATGTGACTAACAGCAGCAAAAGGAAAAATGAAGCAAGAAAACAGAGCACATTTCTTCCTCTGTCAGTGTTATTCAGTGTCTTCTTTGTGCCTTGCATGGTGCTTAATCGTATTATCGCAAGTGTAGTGGTTGAGATACCATGTCACCTTGCACATCTAGGCTGTAGAGGACATACCCTAAGGGCACAGCTTATGCTCTAGGATGTTGTAATGGGTGATTCATTGTGTCAACTTGGGAAGTTCAGAAGTTTAACTGAGTGACTCAGCAGAGGGCAGGGGTCTTCACTTTGCAAACCTCTTGATCCTGTGCAAGAGGAGAGTGGCACGGAGATGGTGTGAGTGCTACGCCAGCCCTACAATGGCTTAGAATATGTTTAAATTTTCTAATTGTATGCAGGCTAATGGGTACCCTGCACACAAGAAAAGGGAGAAGAAGAGGCTTGTGCCCCTCTTTTTGTTCTCGTTGCTTTTGCTGTCTTCCACCAACATGAACGGTTGCCCCTGTGCCCCATGACCCTGCCTTGGAGCCATCAGATTATGGACTGAAACCTCCACAAACTGTGAGCTACATCAGTCTTTCCCTCTTTAACTGTAGGTATCGGGTATCGGCAAGGTCCCTGACTTCTCAGTTGCTACATTTAAGAATTTATTGAGACAGACAATAAATACATAAATCGATGTATACAGTTTAGTGATGAGAGCAAATGAAAGCCTGAGGGGTATGCTGAGTGTGCTGTTCTAGATAGGGACTCTCTGGTGCCTTCTTTGAGGAGGTGTGTCTGTGTGTAGCCCTAAATGATAGGAAGGACAAGACCTTGCTGAAGTGGGGATGGTCATTCCAGCTGGAGGCAGCAACTACGGAAGAGAGATTGACGTGCTTAAAGGTCAATGAAAAACCAGTAGTGCTGAAAGACGCTGAGATAGTTGGAGAGTAAAGGGAGGTTAGAGAGATAGCTCAAGAGTAGTTAGAGTTACTTGCAAGGAACTCTGTATAAACAAGAACTGACTTTTGTCCTCTTATTAATTTTCTCACCCATTCTTCCCCCTGGTCAGTATTAAAAACTTGTGGTGTGCCAGGCCTTATGCGAGGCACTGAGTCAATGGTGGCAAGTGAAGATCCCATTCTCAAGGCGTACCATTTGGTGAGGGGACAGGTACTAAACAAGAAAGCAGGTAGCCGATACATATATGTTGCAAAAGTATTTTAAGGAAAAGAATAGAGCATAAAAGGAAAGATAATAAAGGAGATAGGAGACCTGTTACAAAAATGTAAAGCTACTAGATGCAGTTTATTTTTTATTTATTTTCCTGTATTTAGTAAAGGGTCTACAGGGTCTCACTACGTAGATTGGACTTGTAAGGATCCACCTGTGTTCAGCCTCCCAAGAGCTGGGATTACAGGCATGCACCACCACGCTCAGTCTCAATCACCATCTCAGCATGCTCCGGGGGTGTGGCCCGTGCAGCTGGGTGGGGATTGAACCCCAGCTGCTGCGCTCTGCCTAAGTAGATGCTTTAGTCCACTGAGCTATCTGGCCAGCCCTTAGATGTAGTTAAGAATCTTGTTTCACAACCTTTGCAAACAGAAAATATTTGTATTTAGCACTGAAATAAATGAGCATAAATGGGTAAGTCTACTCCTCAGCGGGAGAGCCATTCCACTGGACTTTCCAGCATGCAACAATCGTGAATCCCAGAAAATCAACTACTCACAGCTCCTGTATCCATTTCTTAGAAAGCCCAAGACTGAGGAAACAATAGGTACAGCAGGCTTGAGCCATTTGCTGCTTTCTACTCTAGTACAGGTGTACTTTAATTTAAAAAAATCCTGAATATGCAAAAATTTATTTTTAAACCGAAAGATAAATACTTTGCATTACAAAAGGATTCTTAGACTTGAAGAGTCACAAGGGAATTCATTTAAGTAATAAGCTTCCCTAATAGCTTTTATATCATTCCATTTGCTGTCATTTGATTTACATACAGCCTTTCAGGAGTACATTTATTGTAGAAAGCTCAGTGTTTGCGCAATAAATATTCTCCTTGATCAATTACACCTCTGAGCTTTAGTCATCTGTTCAGAGGCATGTCATACGCATGCACCAAACATCTTAGACAACTGACATTTCAACACATGCAGGTGGCTAAGTTAGAGCAGTATGTTTTACAACAGGAAATTTATACAAAACATTGGATAAATGTCTTTTTTTGTATTTTTTAGTGAGGGTCTACACGGTTTCATTACGTAGATCAGACTCATAGTGATCTGCTTGTGTTCAGCCTCCCAAAGAGCTGGGATTACAGGCAAGCGCCACTATGCCCAGTCTCAATCGCTGTCTCAGCATGCCCCAGCGGCGGGACCAGCACGGCAGGCTGAAGCTCCAACGGTGGCAGCTGCTTCTGCTTAAGCAGGCACTTTTATTCACTGAGCTATGTGACCAGCCCTTGGATAAATTTCTTATGCAATGTCTTCTAATCATATCATCTTGAGAAAAAGTAGATAGCATAGAATCACTGAGAACACCGGGAATATGGCCACCTAGAGGAATCCAGTGAGCGGATTAGCACTGATAGTACAACGGGCTGACTGCGCATCCTAACTCCCTTCATTCTCATGGTGGGTGAGAGTCTCCCTGCAGTTCGATTCCTGGGATTTTATTTCAGATCTTTATTCCTATTGATCAGTGAAGTCGGACATGTGGGAAAGAATGGAAACCCCAGAACATATTCATTAATGGAATCATTAGCTATACTACTTGGGCTTAAGAGCCACAAACCATTTTTATCATAGGTAGATCTCCAGGAACACAGAGCATAGATGAGAAGTGAAACGGAAAAGTTATTCCTACTGTAGTACAAGCGAGTCAACATTTGCTAATACTCATTCAGTATTTCCTCCAGATTGGGCATTGTTTTAAAGTCATTAGTAGATTTCATAATTTAACTCCTTCACAAGCCACTTAATAAGGTATTGTTTTTATTTTCAGATAAAATTAAAGCTGAAAAAGTTTATGTTATTTACTCTAAGATCTAGGGATGGATACAGATGAATGACCATTTTGTATCTGGGTATTCAAAATGGTGAGGATAGATATATAGCTATATTCTCTTAATTCAAGGAATACAGGGATTTGTTCTAATGCTGTTTGTAAATAGGATGTCATGTCTGCATCTTGTACAATGAATAACCACTAGGAAGATAGTATGCAATGTGTTAATTATTGGAACTGTCCTACCAATTTGATTTGAAACTTTCTCATTGCTATTTATTTCTCAATAAAATTATGGAAAAAAGACCTAGGGACGGTGTGTTTACATCCAACAAATACAGCTAGGCACCTACTCTAGGAGAAGCTGTGGGAATTCAACCACGAACTATTCAGATGAAACCCTTGCTTTCCTGGACCCCCACTCTCAGAACTGCAAGCATCAAGTGGATGTTGATTTGGTCCAGGAGCACCACTTTCTGTTTTCCAGCAAATTTAAAACAGCAGATGTCTTATTCTAAACAATGAATTCATTTAGTTCTGTAGCTCAATATTTACCAAGAAAAATTGCTTTGGGAGTACATCAGTGAAAATTCTTTGGCATATAAGTCAGAGAAACCACTTATTTCTCAACATAAATGGGAATTCATTAATTTTCATGACAAAAATGTCTGTAGGTAGTCATAATTTTAGGGGGATTTTAATTTGGAAGTTCAAATGATTCACATACTTATTCATTTGTTTGAAGAATATACAGTGAGCATCTGTAATCAGTCAGATACTGCTTTGAGAATTTGGAATACAGCAGTTAACTTTCTTGGAGCTTACATGGAGGTTAAGGTGCACAGAGCTGCAGAAAATAAATATATATGCTGAGTAGTAACAGGTGCAGAGGAAGAAAACCATCTCAGGGTACAGGAGTGATGTGAACTGCTAGCGACGTGTATAGGAGGGGCAATAAGGTAGGGAGCAGGTCTCTATTTGGAGCCACTTTGGGGAAAGGTCAAAGTGAGGGGACAGGAGGATGTATCCCAGGAGGAGGGTCTAGAAAGTGGAAAGGCACTAAGGAAACAATCCTAGGCCATGCGGCTGGAAAGTACTTAGCTAGAGGGGAGTTCTGGGGTACTGGTTCAGGATCGGCCGGTGTATGCCTTCAGGTTTTCTTCCGAGTATGGTGGAAGATACCAGACGATGTTATGCATGGAACTGACACAATGAAATGTCTAAAAACGTTCTTGCAGAAACTACTTGCTGAATTAGATTTTAAGCTGAAATACCATAAGCAGCCAGACTGGTAGCGCTGGCAAGAATAAAGGTCTTTGGATTTGACGTTAAGGTGATGAGAAGTGATAAAGTTTAGGCTATACTTTGATAATCGAGCTGAGGGAACATACTGATAGATGCCGTAGATGAGACAAACACAGGCACATGCAGAAAAGAGTTAACACAGTGGCCCTGAGCCTGATCTGAGCTTTTGGCTGGTGTCTGGGAACCCTGTATTTTGAAGCATTCCCACTGAGAAGGCCATTTAATTC